AACATCCGGATGTTCTCTGTGAAAGTTCTTGATAAGTGTCTTGTCCAAAATGTTTCTGGCCGGAACCCAAGAGCGCTCCTCAGGTCCGTAGCCCTCCCAATCCACCAGGTAATGAATGGAACGGCCCCAGCGTCTAGAGCGAAGGATCTTCTTGACCGTGTAAGCTGGGACCCCATCAATGAGACGGGCGGGTGGGGGGGACCTGGAAGGTGGGCTAAACCTTGACGTGGTAAGAGGCTTGAGTCTGGACACGTGAAAGGTGGGGTGGACATGCATGTTCCTGGGTAGTAGGAGACGAACAGCAACTGGGTTGATGATCTTGGAAATGGGAAAGGGTCCGATGAACCGAGGTGCCAGCTTCCGGCTCTCCACCCTCAGAGGGAGATCCCTGGTGGAGAGCCACACCTTCTGACCAACCTGATAATCCGGTGGGACAGACCGTCTGCGGTTGGCAGTCCGAGAATAGACAGCAGTGGTCTTTAACAGAGCCCGTCTGGCTCTAAACCATGTGCGCTGGCATCTGTGAGCTGCGGCGTGGGCTGATGGGACCTTGGCTGATCTTTCTTGGATGGTGAACATAGGGGGTTGAAAGCCATAGACAGTGTAGAATGGTGAAAGACCAGTGGCAGATGATGGCAGTGAATTCATGGCATGTTCCACCCAGGGAAGGTTCCTGGACCACTAGGCCGGATCTTGGTGGCAAAGCAACCAAAGCTTGGTCTCCACCTCCTGGTTTGCCCTCTCTGTCTGCCCGTCAGTCTGTGGGTGGAAACCTGATGAGAGGCGAACCGTTATACCCAGCAAGTCACAAAACTCCTTCCAGAAACGAGAGATGAATTGAGGGCCTCGGTCCGAGACGATGTCTGAAGGCAAGCCATGGAGTCTGAAGACTTCTCAGACCAGAACCTCCCCCAACTCCTTAGCAGARGGGAGTTTCTTCAGGGGAACGAGATGAGTCATCTTGGAAAACCTGTCCACAATGGTCAGAATGACTGTGTGTCCTGAGGAGCAAGGTAATCCAATTATGAAATCCATATATTTGTGTGACCAAGGGCGGGGAGGGATAGGAAGTGTTCTTAACAAACCAGCAGGGGGGCGGTGAGAATTCTTGGCCTGAGAGCATTGAGGACATGAAGAAATGAAGTCCTTGATGTCTTTCGTCAGATCTTTCCACCAGAACTGAGATCTCACCATGGCCGTGGTCTTGTTAATGCCTGGGTGGCAGAACAATTTAGAACAATGACAGAACTTTAATACCTTTTCCACTAGGTGTTGAGGTACAAATAGGAAACCTCTGGGACATTCCGGTGGAGGAGGATGCGTCTGGTGGGCATCTTTGACCTCTTGTTCCAGTTGGGTGACTGAAAGACGAACTGACTGGGGAAGAATGAAGTCGTCCGTCACGGGTCTGTGACCATGAGTGGTGGTGTCTTGGATCCTGGACAGGGCATCGGCTTTAGCATTCTTATCCCCAGGTCTGTAAGACAAGGRAAACGAGAAACGGGAAAAGAAAAGGGCCCACCTGGCTTGACGAGCATTTAGCCTCTTAGCTGTTTTGAGGTACTCCAAYTTTTTATGGTCCGTCCAGATGACAAAAGGGGTCCTGGCCCCGTCAAGCCAGTGTCTCCATTCTTCCAGAGCCATCTTAACAGCCAGTAGCTCACGTTCCCCAACATCATAATTTCGTTCAGCACTGAAAAGGCTTCTAGAAAAGTAAGCACAAGGATGAATCTTACCATCCTCTGACTCTTGGTTCAGAACAGCTCCAACTGCAGTGTTAGAGGCATCAACCTCCACGATGAACTGACAGTTAGCGTCTGGGGCACGGAGAATGGGGGCTGAAACAAACAATCCTTTAAGGACATTAAAAGCTTTGTCAGCTTCGTTATTCCAAACAAATCTCTCTTTTATAGAGGTCAGAGCATGGAGAGGGGCGGCCACTTGGCTAAAGTTCTTGATAAATCTCCTATAAAAATTAGCAAACCCTAGGAAGCGTTGAAGTTGTTTCCTATCTTGGGGGGTTGGCCATTCCTTGACTGCACAGATCTTACTGTGGTCCATGGACACACTATTAGGGGGAAATGACGAAACCAAGAAAAGACGTTGTGGTCTGATGGAATTCACATTTTTCGGCTTTGACAAAAAGATTATTCTGTAACAGTTGTAGGGGAAAGTGACTTATGTTAAATAAGCCCCCCTACATCTTCTCATAACAAAGTTATGAGAGAAAATTTTACCAAGGTTTTTCTCATTACTTTAATATTTGACTGTACAAAGTGAAGAGTGACACAATAAGGGAACGCCAGACAAGTTCAAGTTGATTCATAAAAGATTATGCAATCATTTATTTACACAAATTGAACAAATCATAAGTTACATCTGATTGTGGGTTTCCTATAACAAGCGTCCAAGTTAAATGAGATAAAAACCCGCGTCCGAATTTTCTTTCACATTAAAACTCCGATTACTTATATATAGAACAGTAAAACGTCAGCTCTGATGTTAAAACCAAACAATTCTACTGGCACTTTAACTTAAGGTTGGCAAAGACAGGATAAGAAAAGGGATGAAAATTAGAGATTAGTGTTTCTGCTTTTATTTTGGTAAGGGTGTCTGTGACAACCGGATTAGCACGTCCTTTCTGCGCTCAGACTTCAACATGACACGTCACACCGAACACGTCAGCTTTACCTGGTGATGTCTTCTCAAGGCACCCCTGGTATGAACTGTCTCACCCCGACCATCCAGGAAGATTGTACCCGCTGGTCCCTGGCGAGTAGGTGTTTTTCAGGTGACTTTTAGTCTGTTTCAGCCCAGGCTAGAAAGATTCCAGCTGTGGTTCCGGTCATCCTTCAAAATAAATGTTCTCCCCTCGGGAGGTAAAAACACTTTTTATGAGACATATGTCTCTGGGTGGACAGAAGCGGCGTGCTTCTGTCCGGCCGTCAGATTTCACCCTATTTGGCTGAATGGGCGAGATCCGAGGCCCGGCTTGGTCCTCCGGAGAGAGATCAGCCAGTCTTCCCGTTTCGTCATTCAGGAAGAAGAGTTCTCCGGTGTCTGCCTAAGACGTCCGTGTTAGTAAGAGATCGGCTGTCTTAGGATCCGCCCTCAGGCGTTAGCATGAGTCAGAGAAAGAAAAGAGAGATAAGACTTTGCCAGAGGCGCCAGTGCAAGGACACATTATGTAGCTATTTTCACAGACATTATGATAATATCTTCTTAGCTTTTCTTCTGATAGACTCTAAGAGAAATCACTGTAAAACATTTATGATG